TCTATTGACGCCCACACATTTTATATAGTATGAGGGGAGATTGACAGCCAGTTTCACTACCGGATGTTGCCCAACCTGCCTCCGGCTATCAGCTGATCACTCCTTCCCGCGCCTTCGCACTTTTAGCCGGACCAATTAAAAAACAAGTTTTGGACGCATTGAATGACAGGGCGTAGCACGGCCCCGGAGTCTAAATGCTTGATTAATCGCAAGTTGTTTGTTCATTTATACTAATTGTCAATTAATAAACCCACGTATAATATTAGTTTAGACAACCAATCTTAACCAATACTTCGATTGCTATACATTTTGGAGGGATCTCTGAATAAGCATGCTACGACTGGACAATACTTCCATTAGGTTTCGTTACGTTTTTAAACTCCCTATAAATCTAAACATTGACTACATACAGGTAATAAATTGTATGAAAATCTTTGTTTTTGCACTTTCACTATCTTACTGTGATAACCTTTTATATTTACCCCTTCATTTAAAAAAATCGAAACTGTAGACATTTCTCCTGACAGAAGATCGATACTTAGTCTTTTATATATTTTTTTTATTTTCAAAAGATCGGATTAGATTAATTTCATAATCAAAAATATGACAACGCGGAGAAATAGTATTCTCAGATTCCACAAGAGTAATCGAATGTTATCAATTACACTACTGTGTAAGATATAAGATAAAACACCCGCCAAAGGTCCTGGGAACGAAGAAGCAACTTCGGATAACCTCGGCGTCTTTCGGCGACCTTCGTAGCGGGACCGACATTACGTGGCACATAAAGTGGTGGAAGAAACGCGTGATAGTAATGGAAATATAATGGACACTTCACTTATAATAAAGTACTTCCACTGGAAAGGACATCGCAGTAACTTTGGATTTTCTACGGTCATATCCTCGAGTAATGTCTTCTATTAAATAATACAAGGTAATAAAAGTAAAACGGGGTGTTTCTGGGGGATGAGATGGAATTATAAATAACTGAAGAGAGAGTGGATAAAACACATTTTGTGAGGATTGCGTTGAAATTGTAAATGACCATACATTATACTCCTCACAATATTGGCATGTTATTTTTTTTTCCTGGGACTGTTTGACAAACATTATATATACTGGTTCACGGAAAGCGAAACATGAGTACAGTTGGTTGATTTTTATCCTATACTTTCTTTGTTTCAAATATTAAAGGAGTGCAACGTAATTTAATTATGTATTTTCATACACTGTTCGAGAAAAATGTATAACCATAATTTGTTAATTACCCAGTCGTCTTCACTTATACCCTTATACTAATAATAAATTGTGTGTAGAATTTCCTGAAGAGATAATGAAAATACTCTCGGTTTTTGTGTGATGTGGAAAAAAATCTAAATTAATTCACAAACCGATTCTACATGAAATTTTACACACAACATATTGTTAGTATAGTTGAAGATGGCTGGAACGCTGAAGGGTACAAATGGGCCAGGCAAAAGCTCAAGCAATATCTTCAACTCTGTTATAATTGGTAAATTCTTCACTGCCAAAACTTTACCAAACTATTGGTTATGCACTGGCGGAGGTATGTTTAATGGATGGTCGGTCACGGCGATTATTAGCTGGTTCCACAGACGGCTCCTTTGGATATCAACGTTGCAGGTGTACCTGGACGTGGCTTATGATTAATATCTCTACATTCCGGACTCTCTCTCATTCTCTGTCTCTCTAGTCCGATTTGAGAGGCACAAACTGGGTAGAAAAGAAGATACACACACTTTGGTAGAAAAGAAGAAGCACACACTGTGGTAGAAAAGAAGTAGCACACACTGTGGCACAGACGTCACACAGAGTTGTTATGTATTTGGTAATCTCATGAAGAACGGGGTGAAATGAAAAATGTGCCTAAAACACGCCAAGGACCTGGGAAACGATAAACTTTCTAAAAAAGAAATGAATCAATAGTTTTATTTCCTTGTTTTAAAAAGAATTTACAATAAAAATTAGGTTGAGAATATAGGAAGGCATGTGGAAATTATTATGGGAAAGAATGATCAGACTGCGAAGGAAACGATTTAAGAAACGGAGGAATATTAAAAGAACAATAATTGATTCCACCCGCTGATCCTAGTGCTTCAGTGTTAGTTAAGAGGAAGATTTGTCTTCGTTGATGGAAATAGTCCACGAAGATATTTACAATTATAAAATACTCGTACAAATTTAAACAACTCCCTAACAAAAATAAATCCCAGCAGTAAGCAAAATCAAGTGAAAATTAAATCAAACTACAAATAACTAAATAACACTGAAAACAATTTGAAATTAAAACGAGCATTTCACTAGTAGCGAGGCTGCGCGTGAAGCGGTGTCAGCGATCCGCGTGTTAATGCCGTGTGATTATAACTAACAAAACCAAAAGTCTAATGCCGCAGAGAAGAGGAAATATTCGCAAGTCACGGAGTGGATCTCCTTGAACGATCCTTGCCATGTAGGGAACCTGTCCGTGCGGTACTGCGGCCACTGCGGCACCTCGGCCACTAACTCTGCCACTCTACCACTCAGGATCTTCCACACTCTAGCTCTTCCACTCTAGGGATTCTACCATTCTGCCACTCTAGGGATTCTACCATTCTATCAGTAAGATTCTAGCCCTCCAACACTCAACAGAAAGATTCTATTACTTTTGCATCCTGTTTTGTCTCCCTACCATTCCGCTGCCTTGGTGAAGTAACTTCATACCACTACGGTACCCCATCACTGTGAGTTATAGAATGGAGTATAGATCATCTGAGCATTCTACCACTGGTAGAGAAACATTCAAGCACTCATGCACCCAAGCCATGAGCGGCAATCTGATAGGGTAACATTAGTAGACACTCGATAACGAACCTCTCATGAGTATTATCAAATAAGAATTTAATCAGGGTTGGTTTTTTTATCGAGGTTGCCTTTTTATTAGGGGTAACTCGTATAAAACAAAGGGTATTTGAAAATGACACATATTATCAAGGATTTGACTTGTTATCGAGGTTTCATTGTGCTCCTTCGTAAAATTTAATTGCCATATTAACCTACAGTTCAATTCCAAGCAGAATTAAAAGCTCCGTCTTATTTTGCGATGCGAAAACTATTTCACCAAATGTTGAGGGCACTGACGCAGATATAGTTACACAAACACAACTACCGCTAAACAAGTTAAACGTTTGCCCTGCTTGCTATTTTCTTTTTTTTTACCGAAACGTCAAACAAATTTGAAGCCCTCCTCACAAGTGAACGTACAAGTAGAAGGAAACTAAACGTTGAGCTACGTCTTCAGATTCGTGCTCACTAATTATCCACCGTCATTTACCACTCTCCAAACCTGATATGTGATTATGAAATTCTCGTCGCAGGAATTAACGATAAACGACAAATTCCCGGGTGACGGGACAAATTTAGTGGTTTTTGTCCATTTGCGGTAGCGGCGTAGTTAATGGACTAGGCGGACGGACGCTATCGGAGCAGTTCGGCGAGGCACTAAAAGCTCCTTGACACGGCGATTAGTAAAAAAACAAAACTGATCTGACACCCCCCCCCCCTCACTGACACCGAGTCTATACAACTTAATGGGAGCTTAAGGTTTGATAGTGAGCAAAGGTTGGGTTATTTAGATATCTTCTAGATGTTCGCTGGACCTCCTGAGACGGGGACTTAAGGTTTACATTTTTGGTTACTACGTATCAGAAATGCATGTGCGAGGAACAACTCACTTTGGCAAAGTTATTGACCCGTGACGTTAAGCGAATCAACCCGTATTGTAATTCGCTGCTAGAAAAAAACTATTGACTACTTTTTCATTATTTTAGCGAGTCGGTTGCTCAATGTGTACCCAAGGCAGTGATTTCGTGGGTTCACGTCTGTACCGTTTTGCTTGATACGTTATTAATTTAGGCCCATGTGGACGAGCATGGCTAGGAAAATGCTGCCAACCTCATAACACATAAAAAACATTTAAATATTTGCTGCAAAATTTGTCTTTTTATCCTAACCCAATTGAAGTTGGTGTAAATGTGAATTTGGGCCTAATTTCAAGTAGACTGCTTTGATTTAGCATATTATTAACAATTAATAAACTGGTGAGACTGAACAAATGAATTTCGAACGTGATTGTTAACTAAACTTAACCAAAGTTACAGAACTACTGTGCCCTGAGAGAAAACGTGTCAGACATGACAGCAACACACGACACCGACTCGGCGCCCAAATGTAAACTAGGATCACAAGGTGTGAACCAGTTGTGAGATTGGTGACATAAGGGTGACATTCGTGGCACAGGTGAGCGACAATGGACCGAATTGGGCGACAGACGCCCGGCGCCCGAACTTGAGTGCTTTGGTATTGAAATGTCATTGACACTATTCAAATGTGTTTTTGACAGCTGCGAGATGAACGGTTATGTTGAAGTGTAAACGAACGCATTCTCCGAGTGTGTTAACAGCTTCGACAAGTTTGGCGATGTACGTTGTTATTGAAACACTGGTTAAAACACAGTACTGCATATGGTGAATGAAATATTCTTTCTTCAGATGTTGTTAGAACCGAGGTTGATTCCCGTGCAAATTGTGCCATCCACAAAAACTTGAAGGTTTGGGCAGCTATCCCTTGAATGCGTTTGAAATTCCTTGATGCAAAATTGTATTGGTACAAAATCGTACCTTGCTTACATAGTAAAAATACTACAGTAAAGTTAAACAAACATTTTTAAGGCTATAATATTGCAATTTAACATTAGGTACACAATAAATCTAAACTAAATTGACTTAAAATAAAACATGCACAAGTTACACCTTGACAGATCGTGTAAAAAATATTGGGAAATAATATCTAGCCTACAGTTACTAAACTGTACGTTACTTTCTCAGGGAAAAGGATTATAATACGAGAAATAAATTGTCAATAAATTGCAAAACCTTAAATATTTATTTTCAACCACTAAAAATAGTAGTTGTATACAGTATGTTCTGTGGCGTTGGACTCACTTTTCCCTTTGACGAATTCTGATTTGTCTGAGGCGACTCCAAGAGACAGACTGAGAAGTGCCAAGCTCAAGCATGCTAGCCAGCTGCAGCGATCCACCATGGCTACCCGTCATGCCCTGGCTACCACACTGTCGGCATCCTGTGAAAAACCCCAACAAAGTTAGTAAAAGTGTGACAGGAGGTTGGTAAAAATGAAAAGTCTTAGGACCTATCTCGGTTGTCGGTAGATTATCTCTTTGTAAAAAGGCGGACTGGCAAAGAAAACTTGTATAACAATGAGAGAAGTCGAGATCTACAACTTGTTTTTGTAAAATCCCTCTTTGAGTAAAAGTGGACAGACATGCAATCAATGAGATGTCGGTAATAGTATCCTAGAACACATTCCTTAAACATCCTCGTTTGTTTGAATCAAATTTGCAAAATTTAAGTGTAACGATGAGAAATTGTTAGATTTATTATCCCTGTGTAAAATACAGTACCTATGTATCCCTAAGAACATTCTCTTTATGGATATGTTTAGTGTAACGCCTATCAAAAAGAGTAAGATCTAGACTGTTTATTTAGTTACTCTTATGCTTATGTTATGGCAAGAGGAGAGGAATCGTACTGAGAATGTATAATTGAGAGTAAACCATTCACTAGATACTTTCATCAATAGTCAAACGAAGAAAATGTCGATATATGGTAATGTAGGGTAGTATCGGTTGTACATTATGATTGTACATGTTAAAATAGGCACTAGATGTAACTTAAGTAGCTTATATGCAACAAGTGGGGTGTGCTGCAAAGCTTGATGTGTTACTATACTATTAACTAAACATATCAAAAGTTCTTGTTTAGCATAATTATATAACAATCACAACATATAAATAATAACTTAACTACTGAGTTTATAACTACTGTACTTATAAGTAATGAAGGAACTTGTGAAAAGAAATGTTACGGAATGTTATATCAAGTAAGAACAGCATAACAAATTAATACATTTTCTTTATTTGGGTGAAGCGAATAAATAATTATTGGATGTTTTAAACTACAGCACTCTTCCAACAGCGACGACTCTTCATGTACTGTACAAGTGCCTTGAACAACTCCCGCCAAATCTCGCTCATCTCCCGCCATACCGGTCACGCCGCGATCAATTAAGACTTGCTTTGTCCCGGCAACGCTTCAGTTATGTTCTGGGGTTTCACGTATTTAGCTGATAATAGGTTGCCCTTAGCAGACCTGTTATCAGATGACATCATTCAAATAGCTACGTGACCAGAGCTAATTAATAGGAGCGCAGTTGCGCGGTGGAGTGGAACAAGCGTGCGCTGCGCTCACGAGGAGTGCGCATGAGCAGAATGTCGTGTCCGTGTCATCCAGGTAATGTACAGCGCATGCGATGGATGGATCATGTCTGCATTTTGTTTTATATAAAGAGCCAAGTCGGGCTTTCATGATAAGGTACATAGACTTTTAATAGTGCAAGCAGACTTCTCGTCCATTAAAATCTTAGCATGTAGGTAACATTTGAGTGTGGTTAACTTTAACTCGACGAAATATATGAGGAGGGTGTTATGGCACTATAACATAGCTGGCTGGGTAGGTTGGTGGCTATAGTGCTCGCCAAAGAATCAAAAGGACGCCAGAACGATCCTGAGAAAAGTCAGTACCAGCTTTTTGACTGTTCGAAACTGGACCCAGTTTCGTTGGTGATCAACAAACAGCTGATCTTAGTCAGTGACAAAGCTACACAGATCATCTCACTACATTCTACACTCATCCGTCACTCACATATTCAAATATGCCGAGTTGCGATCCAATCTCAAATTATGGTTAATGATAATGATTTTAAATATGGCAAAAGTTTACTCTAACGCACTTCCACAGGGGTAAAATAACGCGCTAGTCATTATTTGGCTTTAAAACGTGTTAAGGATCGCTGTTTTGTTTATTAACATAAATAATTTTGCGTATTGTACGTTATAATACTTGTTGCGATACCCATAGAGTAATGACTGTCTAATCGTAAAGTTGGGGCGTTTTTATTTCAAAATACCTACTACATAGTTTAAAAACAATTGGGATATGAGTGATAAGACTAAATAAAAGCAAGTATTTCCAATTGTTTAATGATGTTAGGCGTTGTAGGCTGATGTATAAGGACGTCAATAAGGAAGAATACCATATGTTGGAGACTCATCAAGAATGTAACCTCGCTAATACACCTAGGTAGAGTTTAAATCCTGATTATCCTTTTAAGGAGTTTGCTGCAATTTATAGGGTTTACGACTTCACCAGGATAGTACATAAACCGGTAATAATTTGAATGATAGACTTAAAGTAAACCATATACTCTGGTTTTTTCTGGCATTGTCCGAGAGTAGGAATACAAGTAAGTATTCCAGTCTGGAACCACTCTACTCTCGAAGTAGTGGGGGAAGTATCAAGAGTCATAATACGAGGATGATATGATCGACAGGTAGAAGAGAAGAAGTGATAAAGAGGGGGTGGGAGGAGCGAAGAGGAATGTGAGCACAATAGACAGCTTCCATACACGCTTGGGAACATGACGCACAAAGAAGAAATTAAAATGCCTGCAATGATTAGAAAAACCTGTCACAATAGGTTCGGTCATGGTTGTCCGTTAGAGGCTTTAGTGGTTTTAATTGCGTCTTTAGTGAGTAGGCCTACCACGTCCACCGATGAGAATCTGCTACAATAATCTCGTGGATTACTTTGCCGAGAGGACATTGAACATCTGAGGACACGACGCCTTGTGACCGTGCATCTCTGACGGGGAGAAAAATATGAAAAGTTACCTTGTGAGTTGGATAAAGGATTAATTTCACCGACCACGCCAATTGCGACCTAACTAAAAACATGGACACTGGTATTTAAATTTTGAATATTAAGTTAGTTTCATCCTCTTTCATGATGGTTTGAAAACATTTTCTTAGTTATACCAGAGAAAAATATAATGTATGCATTATTTCCAGGGTAACTTTAAGTGAAACTGGAAGAAACGTATAATTGCTTCTAGGACAACTGATAGACAGTAATGCCAGAGTGAGATTGTTTATTGTACGCCGTAGGGCTCACGTGCACTTCCATCTGGAGATGTGGAGGAATGTGACGCTACACAAGGAGTTTGTTGACTTTGAGGTCCAACAACCAACAGGGAAGCTGTGGCTGAAGGCACGAAATACGAAGAATTCAACTTTAGACGTATTATCGTGCAGGTATGAGTTAACCAGATGAGTCGAAGTAGACACGTTACAAGGGTTTAGACACGCGACTCTAGGACCACGCAAATGTATCAACTTCTGAAAAATCGTCCAATTTGAGGTCTAAGATTGTTTTCTTGATTAAGAAATAGCGAATATAGAAATAATTGTGTAGCTTTGCGAGACAATTTTCATATTGAAATGTCAAAATAACTTCAAACGATGCTCGTATAATTTACAGTGATTGTGCTAAATACATAACTCACACTTTCTGTATTCTCATTTTTACGGGGAAGTCTTTGGAAAAAAATACTTTGCACAGTTTAGAAGAATTATTGAGGTTGTGGAAACTTATGAGGTATTTTCTCGAATTCCATCCTACAAGTTTTGGTTACATATTTTTTATACTGAACATATTGTGGAGTGGGCAATAAAATAAATTTCAGCCTATGAGGTGGGCGGGCACCGACACCCCGGACTCCTCTTCAACCCTCGGCCCGCAAGGTCTTCTTGTCCGTCCCTACCTGACGCTTCCCCACAGGCACTTGTTTCATCAACCCAAGATTCCTGCACAGTCAGGGGTACTGCCCTTAAATCATCTTGGACAAAAAACCTACAAATCTTCGGGAATACCTCCACCTTTTGTCTATCAATTTTTTATTTGCTAAATTAGTATTATTTTTTGCCCTGACTCCCTGCAGCTAAGAGTGATTGCTTATTAAATGGACTTATTAGTTTGAATTTTAAAATTAAATACTGTGAGAAAGGTTTGAAGATTGTGGATGTCTACTTTGTCTTCAGGGTCTCTCCTGTGAAGATGATATTTCATTTTCGTGATAGATGAGGAATCTGTGTATGGTATCTGGCTAACGTAATCCCACTGAAAGATATTTATTTATAAGCTCTGAAGGCTTTTAAATCTTTATAAACGGGATTAAAATAGTATATTACTACATATTATACAAAATCTAGACGTGAAATCTGTGATTATATCAATATACCTTCTACTTTCAATCTTTAGTGAGTTGACGCAAGTTGACGTATTGGAATTCTTGTCCCTCCTTTGTAAACTACAGTAGGGTATTAATACGAAAATTCAAGTGTAATGACGATGCTTAAGTTAGGTTAACAAGTAGTTTTACTGCTAGCCTATAACAATTGAACATTTTATTTGCTGGTAGAATATCGCCAGTTTGAACCTGAGACAATCAGTAGCTTACTTGATCAGTTGGCTTTTAATAGCCAAAGATAAATAGATAAATGGTCCTAACTAGAGAAACACCTGACCTTAGTAACTATACAGACGGCATCTCACTCAGACACTCATGCGACACCCTTATGTCATGAATTCCCCCCTTCTAGGTCTAGGCTCAAGATATTCCGTAAATGCTGCTGATTATGAACCTCAGATCCTTCGACTTCCACGATTCCCTCACGTCGCGGACGTCTGTCCCACGGCTGGCTGCACGTCCAGGACTCCGCCCCTCCTAATCACTGGTCACCGGGGTGTGATTCCCTGTCGTGCCATCCTCTTACCCGTAATTTTTCCCCATTACGGCAAAAGCCGGCTCTAGCCCTTTGTTTTAGTTAATATACATAATTCGTCCCCCGTCAAATGTCGAAGGTGATGGGTAAAAGTTTAACACGTAGCACGAAGAAGAGGATGAGGGATTCATCGGGTTGTGAAGCAATGGATAAATATTTTTCAAATTGTAAAACCAAACTAACCTGATAATTTAAGAGTTGACATATTATTTTGGAGAACATTCCATTTAAAATAATTAGTCAAAGTTAATATTTAACAAATCTACTCAAATTTTCAAACCTACAACTGCTGTGTTTGGTCATAATTAAATAACTTGAAATTTTAAGTATCTGGCAGTTATTCAAGTATTTACATAGCAAAAGTTGCCTCTTGGTATCTCTA